CCTATAGTTGTAAAGCATCTATTAGCCAAATATACTACTAATAAAATCCTAGGTCACAAGTACTTACCTTAATATTTTTTAAAAAAAAAAAAAAATTTATTAATCATTATAATTTTTTTTAAAAAGAATCTGATCCAATATTTCCATTAATTGAAAGAAAAATTAAACAATTAGAGCTTTTTTTAAATAATAATATAATAAACACTAATTATAAAAAACCTGTTATTAATACTATTCAAAAATTTAATACTGATCCTTCTATTTTTAATGAAAATTTTAAACATCTTTTAAACTTGCAAAAGAAAATTTGATAATTATTTTTTAAATTACTCTTCACATTCTATTTTTAAAGCTTTTTGCATTTTTGATCTTTGTTTTTCTCAATTATTAATTAATAATTGTAATATTTCTAAATATGCTGAACAAATTTCTGAATTATTAAATCCTTCAGTTACTTTACTTTAAGAGTAATCTTTATATTGTAACATAAATTTAACTAGTGAAGATTATACTAATTTAGATATTTTTTAGAAAAAAATATTATTAAATTTTCCTCTTTTAAGTTCAATCACATTAGACTATTTTTGGTTACCTATTTTTTTATATAGTGTTGAACATAGTTTTTTAGCTTACAATAATATTTTACAAGATAAATGGCAAAACTTAAGTAAGAAATCTTTAAAAATGCTTACTATAATATACTTTAATAATAACAAATAATAAATTTAAAATATAATAAATTAAATTACAAATTAATATAAATTTAATTATTAATTACAAATTAATTCAAATTTTTGCAATAATATAAATAAAGATTATGCATAATACAAATAATTTTTACAAGTCTCTGATGCATGTTTGTGAAGTCATAATAATGTTGAATAAATGACTATTTAAATAGCATTCGAATTGTACTATTCAATGATAAACTTTTTAAATTTTACTAGTGATTGTAATTTAATCTATTTTTATTTATTGATAAATTTTTATTAATTTAGATGTAGTGTGGACACAAAAAACATTTCAATATATTCTTCTTGCAGCAGATAACTTCTATAAAAAAATGAGTAAAAAATATAAAGAAAGAAAAATATTAATATCACAAATGAGAAGTTATTGATATCATACTGAACTGTTTAATATATATTTTAAAAATAATAAATCTTTTATAATGTAGTGAACTTTTCTTAAAGACAACTTTTTAAAAAATGAGAATCATATTAGCCAATTAGCTAATAAACTGTTCTCTGTAATACTACATGCAGCTGGATGTAAAAGAATTTAGTCAATATTAGAGTGATATTATAGCAAATATTATATATAGCTTTTTTTTAAGTAAAATTAAAAATATGCAGAAGCTTTCTGCTTTTTATCTTGCAAATTAAAAAAAAGAACTACTGTATTTTTTGTTAATAATAGTGCTAAAGATTTATATGAAGCATTATCTAATATAAATCTTAGCAATGATAATAACTATCATGAAGAACAACTTATTAGTAAAATACAAAATGTGAAGTTTTTAGATAAAGAAGCACTTAACATTAAGGAATTGTTAAATCTTGATGTGGCTGATTTTATAAATAACTTAGATAAAATAGTTTTTAATACTAACTTTGAATCTTCTGAAGAAGAATATAGTAATGTTCAAATTAATAATGCTGAGAGCAATATTGATAAAAAAAATTGGAATTCTGAAAAGAAAGTTGATACAATATTAGATTAATCGATATACAATATATATAAATCAATTAACATAGTTTAATAAAACAAATTTTTTTAATTATTTGATTTAAAATTAATAAAAAAAAAAAAAGATGCAAAAAATTATTATAATCTATGAAATTTCTAAAATAAAAGTTGTTTAAAGCATCTTATGCATCTTTAGTTAATTAACTATAAAATTTTAAGAATTGTCTGAATAAATACATAAAAAAAAAAGATATCATATTACAGTTTTTGAAAGACCAAATAAGAATTAGTCTTTAACCAATTTCACAATTATTTAATTTCTGGTCTTAAAACTAGTCTGTACCAGTTTTTTGATTTTAATATAAAAGATTTAATATAAAAGATTTAATAAAATTAAATAATATAAATATTGCATATAAATACTATATATATCTCTAGTTAAATACTGAATACAATACTTTTTGCTAAAAAATTTTAAAAGGCTTATTAATTCAAAGAATTGTAAATATGTACTAACTGAATTCTATAAATTGGGTTCTCAATTGCTTATAATAACTGTAATTAGATTTATTTAACATTAAAAAAACACATTTTACTTTTTGATAATAATTATATTACTGTCTAATATATTAGACATTTACAGTATAAAGACTTCAAATGTATAAATTTTTTATTTAACTTCACAAAGTCTTCAAGTTTTTATATTCTTTAAAGCATAAAAGATATTATTTCAGAATATAATTTAGTATTCAGTTCTTAAATTGCCCAGGTACAGAATCTCACATCATATTTATTTATATTAGATTTATATTAAAAATATAGGATCTTATCAGATTTATATCAGATTTTTGTTTCAAATTCAGAATTTGGATTTCTTATTATAGATTATTATGTTAAATCCAAAATATTAAAGAATTAAAAAACAATATCATCCAAAACATTAATTAATACAACATTCAATGCTTTTTAATAGCTATAATAAAATAAATAAATAATCAAGTTTATATTAATTATTAATATTAATAATATTGAACCTGATATAAATAAAAAAGTTTAAATATTTTCAATTCTTAGTTATATAATACATATATTATAATATTTATTTGAAAATTAGTCTTGAATAAAATAAACTTTAACATATAATTTTTTATAAAAGAATAGATTATAAAAATAATTAAAAATTTATAACTAAACAAAAATCTTAATCTTTATTAAATAATTTAAACCGTTTATGAATCATTTATAATTAGCTTTAATTAAATATAAAAATACATTATTAATGATATATGTTCTTAAATTTAATTATAAAAAAAATATAGAATGACTGTAAAGATATATTAAGAATACACATTCAAACTTATTTGAATATGCTAAAAAATTATTTAATGCAGAAAAAAAGTATATTACAATGATTAATTTAGCTAAACAAATTAAAAATAAAAAATTAGAATTAAAAATATTTATAAATACAGAGATATATTTAATATTAATACTAAACAAGCATGTTTAATTTGTTATACTGCTAAAATTATTAATAAAAAACTCTTAATAACAGTAAATAGATTAGAATTTAAAATTATAATTAAATATTTAAATTGTAAAACAATAACAAAACATAATAAAAGATAGTAATTTTAGTGTAATAGTTAGGTTGTTATCTTTCAAATAGCAGGTTTAAGGTTTAAATTCTACTTATAATGAAATTTGAAAATTAATTTTGTTATAAAAAACTGTCTTTTGTTTTTTTTTTTTTTAAATATTAAGGTAAGTACTTGTGACTCAGGATTTTATTGATAGTACATTCAGCTAATGGTTGCA